TACCGACACTAATACAAATAATGTGTAAAATTATTTCAATTAATATTACTATTATTTTATAGACTGAATCCAAACGGAGCCGACATTAACTCCAATAGTCTTCTCATTCAATTAGTAAACGGTTTGTCTGATAATTGTTTAAAATTTTTTGAACACTTATTTCAATAATTAATTTGTATAATGAAATTACAGGCAAACATTCATCGCTCAGTTCATTACTGGGAGAGAATTCAGAGCACAGTTTTAAACTGAACGTATCGTTTGCCGGTGTTATCGGCGTTAGTGTCCAACGAAATAATGACAATCCGATTGAGTTGTCGAGTGAATACTTGGGAGGTCTGGCCATACGAGCCAACGCTAACCGATCCAATGCCATAGAGTTTGACGCTAACAACAAACCTGTCAACCCTTTCCTCAAGAATATCTACGAAACAAGTAATTTATTAATAAATATTTAATCAATTAATTAAATTATAATAAGACATTCATTGATCTCTTATAAAAATTAGATGAAAACTCACAAAAATCTGTGTCAGACAACGAGATCGCCGTTTTGGTAGCGCACGGGTCACTCACTGGGGCTCAGATTAAAGCTAATAATCGCACACTTGATAGCAGTTTAATCGGAGGTTTTGTTGTCGGAGCCAAGACTAGAATTACCACAAAATAGTATTCATATAAAAAAGGTTTATTTTAATAATTATTGCAGTCCCGATACAGTAAATTATCGATTATATGTTATGATTGAAAGCAATTAAATAAAATTATATTAAAATAATTGTTTTAATAATTATTAAAATATCATTTTTAAATTGAATTTAGTACAAAACAATTAATTTAAAATTGCATATATTAATTTAGAAAGTCTTATTTATGTTTACAACAAAGTGGAATTTTTGCTGCAATACAGGTTAAATAAACATTATAATTTATAAATATAAATAATACATTATATTATATCATAAATTTATTTTGCCCAACATTTCTAACAATGCGATTTTAATATAATAAACAAGGGCAATAAATATTTACATTAAAAAGGACTAAAATTTAGGCTATATGAATGTCAATAATTGTTTATACTTGCTAATATAACATTATTATTAATAATGTTATCTGTTACATAGATACATTAACTGTTTTACCACAAAGAAACAATTTGTATTTTGTTTTTCGATTCGTACAGTAAATTGAAAAATATTCAATATTTAATAATGATTTATTCATAATAATGTATATTATATTTAAATAAAATATTACATATTTTTATATAAATAATAAACAAGACATGAATATTATAATCTATTATGCATAAAGTAGAAATAAATTTAAGATCATATTTAGATATCATTTGGTAAAATACTATATTTAAACATATGTAGCATTTGCTATTTTGCTATACATTTATTGCAAGTATTAGCTCTAAATAGGCAAATTGAAAATCAAATAAATAAACATGCTTAAACATTTAAACATTCACCTAGCACAATATGCTAAATTAATATTGTATGCGAACCGCGTATTTGGCATAACATTCAATGGCGTGACTATCGATACAAATAGCGGTAATTCACACCAAAGAAACCGTTGGAAATACTTTGGCTATTGTTATACTTTAGTGGTTATTGTGGCACAAATTGGGTCGTCTATGTTCTCAATATACCTATTAATGAGAGCCCATAATATGGATAATATAACATCGTTTGAACTTGTTTCACATACCATAATGCTCTTATGCCAGTGGTACATGAAATTATCAAACATGATCTATTATAACCTATGGGGCTATGATATGATGCGTAAAATAATCATAGAGTTGGGTCCATATTTAAACCAACTTGGCAAAGTCACACAGAGTTTGATTATGGTGGTGATACTATGGATGGCACATTTGGTTATTGTGATTATTGGTCTCATCTACACTATTTCAACATTGAAGAATTATAATTATTTTATGGCCAACGTTGATGTCTATCAAACGATCTGGTTCATTTGGCTAACACCATTTGTTACATGGATAATTTCAATTATGATTGGCATCTTGCTTGATAACATTGCAAGAGATTTGGGCAGGATCAATGGTATTACATTTGAAAGTATAAATAGCCATGTTGTCACAGTAGATACTGAGGGTAAAATTCAATATCTATCATTTAAACAAAATTAATTAGCTATTTTTTTAAATACACTGAACAAGGTTTTTTTCTGATTAAAATCATAAGTAATACTTAAACCAACTTAAATAATCATGTTAATATAAAGGTATCTTTACTTATTTATATCAGGTATCAGATGTCCAATAAAACACCAAATATTAGTTCATAACAAACAACTGACGCTAAAACTCGTAAAAACATTAAACACAGTAAACAAATGCCTGACCAATAATCTGATGGCCACAACTCTGGCCTCCATTGTGACCTTAATGGTTAACATATATCTGGTCACTCACTTTAAAGACAACGATTACCGACGATGTGTGGGCACAGGTCTGGCCCTGTCGTCGGTGTCATCGGCAGTACAACTGATGGTTTCGTGTGTAATATGCGGTTCTGTCGGCCGAAAGTCGGAGAATATAAGGGAAGTGTTGGACGCCGTGAACGGACCGGAGCTGACGGACGGCGAGTTCCGGGAAGTGTTGCTCTTTAAAGATATTGTTAGAAATGGTCGCACATTTGGCTTCACTTTTGGTGGTTTCTTTGTTCTTAACAAATGTGCACTCATTTTGGTAATGCATTTTCAATTGACTTTATTTTCAATAATTATTTTCATTCATAATTTCTATTTGTTTAGATTATAGCGTTTTTGGTCAATTATATTGTAATTGTATTGCAGCAATACTAACACTACCGAAACATACAACATAAATATTTAATTGTTGTTCACAATTGCCAGAACACTACTTTACACATCAAATTAGAGTCAAAATAACCTAAAGTGAACCTAAATTATTGAATGTCTAATCCTATAAAACATAGTCTAAATTGTTTATAATATACAAGATTTGTATGATTTACACAACAGTTGTTTCATTAAATTAAAGTAAATTAATGTAAGTTATAAAGTTTTGTTATAATAAGCCCAATAGATTTAAATAAAAGTAAAAGTTATTTTAAATTACAAC